TATCCCGCAGAGCTTTTTTTAGGCATCCCGGTCGCACTGTTTGCTGGATCATATCCGCCTTTTTTGCCTGGTACAGCCCCAACCGAATCTTTTCGATCTTTTTTAGGACCGGAGGTAGCGCATGACCCGTCAAGGCTCTTTTGCATTCTGCAGGACCTGGCACTCACTCCGGGCCGAGTAGACTTTTCCGAATTTTTGGCCTACTACACGGCCGTCTCGCACACAATTGGGGACCCAATCGTGGATTTTGTTTCCACAGATGAGGACAACGGAGCAGAGGATGACATCCATTTGCTAATGAATCTGGTGTTGTCGTCGTCGTCTCGTAGCAATTATGGGAGTATTTCACCCCAGAGCACGCAGACTGATGCATTTGAGAAATTGATTTGTCTGGCTTGGCGAGTCTGAGGCTCCTAGCTGATTGTGTTTTATCACATCAACTTTTTTGTTTTGTATCTCTTTCTCTTTTTGTCACTTTTATCTTTTTGGACGTTTTTTTCTTCTAATCTTTGTCAAGTCTTGACTGGTCGATATTTATCGGTTTTTTTTTATCAAAGGAACCTTTAGGCACTGAACTGCTTTGCATTTATCTTTGCACTACTGCTTTTCCGTATTGGTTACTCAACTTGAATGCATACTTTAATAAATATGAAAATAAAAACTGGTCTTGTATGCACTTCGAGTTGAATGCCTTCTAGCTCTGAGTGTAACCCATCTGATTTGCTCTCGTTCTGTGGCGAGCCGCGATTTTTCTAGCTTACAGCCTACTGGTTGACAAAACTGTCACATTTAGTCGTTAGACCAATAGACAGTCGTCTTGGATGATAGTCCATTAGTACTAGAGACAGAATAGTTCTCTGGATATAGTGTGGGCCTAGCCAGTCTATCGCAACCATCCAGTTGCTCACAAATGGAGCTGTGTAAAAACGCTTTCCAAACGGATCCAGACCCACTGCAGTAAGCTTTAGGAAAAGGTACGCGAGGACCGGTATCTCCTCAATCAATTTATGCGGAACGGTTATCCAAAAGCATTTATAAACCGATAGTGGAACGACCTTCAGTGAAGGTTAGCCGTGAAATAAGCGGACTCTCGGGTCTGACGAATAAGCAGTCACGGACCAGCAGCGGCAGTGCTACCAGGGCCCGGCGGGCTGAGGCCTAGCAAGCTACAAGCCTATTAAGTATTGCAAAGCCTGACCATGGCGCTGTGACATGGCGAG